TGTCCAAGGCTCCCCGGCTCCGCCTTTATTCTGTAGCATCTGTCCCAGTGCGCTGTGTGTACGAGCCGTCAGTCGCTTCTTGTGCATGCCTCCTCGCGTGGACACGGCCGCTGTTTCCATTCTCGCTGTTTGAACAGTGTGCACATGGACATGTGTGTGGGTGTTGTCGGCTGGCTGGCTATGTGGCATGTGCTCATGCGGCGTGTCTACCGAGTGAGTCCCACAGTGGTTATACAGGTTGACACTCCCACGAACGGGATCTGAGGGCACCGATCTCTTCCCGTCCTGCAGCACGTGTGACCTGCTTTGGTTTGGTTTTGTGAACGTTGTTAGCCGTGTCGGTGGTTGGTAGTGTCTCATTGTTATTTCGATGTGCATCTCTCAGAGAGCTGGTGGGCATGACCATTTCTTCGCACGGTCGTTGGTTACCTGATGTCTTCTTTGGTAAACGGTCTGTTCAAGTCCTCTGCCCATTTTTAAATTCAATGACTCACCTCGTTTCCTCTTGAGGTGCTGAAGTTTCCATCGAGTTTGGAGCGGGGCCGAGTCCGGCAGTGGGACGGGGCGGAGCGGGGCCGAGTCCGGGAGAGGGGCGGGCGGGGCCGAGTCCGGCAGTGGGACAGGGCGGAGCGGGACCGAGTCGAGTGGCGGGGCTGGGCGGAACCGAAGGGCGGGGCCCGGGCCTTGCTGGAGCTGGGGCGGACCCTGGACGGTGAGCCCCTCGGGAAGCTCACCCAGACGTGGCCTGCGGACAAGGAAAGTGGACGAGAGCCTTCTCCATGACCACCCAGGTCGCTGCCCATCGCGCAACCAGGGCTCCGTACTAGCTTTCCACCGCAGCGTTTGTTTCTTTGGGGTTAGGAAGCACCTGTCAGTCCAGAAAAGTGAACTTTTAAAGATGGAAACTGCCGGGTCGGACTGCCCTGAGGTTTTCCGGGACGTAACTGCGGGAGTAGAAAGCAGAAAGGCCGGTCTTGTTCCAGCAGAGCGGCGAGTGGTTTGGGACTGCTGACCTTGCAGTTAGCAGCCGGTGTAACGACTGGTGAGGGCGGCTAGCGCACAGAAGCCTGCGCACCTGGGCCCCCGCGCGGGCCAGGGAGGGAAGAGAAGGCTGCTTGGTCCAGGGGAGCGGGAGAGCAGGTGAGCCACCTTTGCGGGGCAGATGTAGGCGAGCTGGCCCGCGCCCGCCCCGAGGGCCAGTTGCAATTAAGGACTGCGTTGGTGAGGGGCCCCACGAACAGCAGGAGAAAGCCAGCGCCGCCGCCCGGCCCTAGCCACGCTGCCGGTCCTGCTGTGTTTGCATCCATGGCTGCAGTGCCTGCGCCACAGTCCGACGCAGCGAGGGCCTTCCTCGTGTGCTTCCACCGAGCATGACGCCCACCAGGGACTGGTCTCCTCTGGATAACATGTCCAGCGCACAAGACATGAGATGTCACCACCTGGCTGCTAAGGAGCATTCTGGTTTTGCTTCTAAGGACTGTGGTCTTTAACAAGTAATATTTCGTATTTTTCCTAAGGATAAAAATGGTATTTCTTCATGATGAAACATTTTAAAGCTGTGTCACTTGGGAGCGTGGTGGGTGTGGGTGGGGGAGGACAACACTAAAACCACCAGTTTGTACAGTTTTACTGTACTTTTTCCCCCCATCTAAATATTATTTTGTATTTCCCGGCGCTCACTGCTCCCCTCCATGGACCCCCTGCCTGGGGTTAGAGCTGACTCAGAGCCCTGTGCTATGGTCTTTACAAAGCAGACAGCCACATCTTGCTACACGGCACTCGCTACACTTTGCAGTTGGCAGCCACGGGCACCTCTTCCACCTCAGCAGCAGCTCCTGCTCCATCGCCCTTGGCGAGGGCTCGCTGGCACGCGGCTCAGGGCTGAGCTGCTGGTCAGAAGCCGCCCATCGACGTGGCAGGGTGCTCCAGCAGCATTCAGAGCCTTGGAGACCCTGGGGGTGGGCAGGGCGCACTACCAAAATGACGCCCCCCCCCCCCAATGTTCGTGTCTGTTTTCAGCAGAAATGGTTTTAGGTGAAACTATCCCTGTCATTCGTTATAAAAGCAAAATTAATCTTCATATGTGAATACGTCTGCAAGGCCCAACCTTTGCTAATTTACTTACTGAAACTTGGAATGCTTTCTAGTCTGGCTTGGTGGGAGCCGTCTCGCTGACCCAGTTAGCACGGCACTTGGTGTCTTCCAACCCGGCCCAAGCACAGCCCGTGGCTTGCCGCGGCCGGTGTTTCATGGCGGCTGGTTTTGTCAGCTTTTCTTCGGTATTAGCCTCAGTCCTGCGGCAGTCTGTGTGACCTACAGCGATCATTTCTCTCTTCTTTTTTTTTTTTGAGGATGAAGTAGTAATTAGAGAAAAATAACAGAAGGCTGGCTTCCACTCAGTTCCTAAGAATGGTTTCATTAATAATGCTGTGGTTCCATGTGGGAGATCCTTTTTTTTTTACTTTAAAAAACAAATTTTATTGTGAATTAAACGGGGGTTCACCTTCAGATCTTCGTTTTTGTATCCCACAATGTAAACCACCTGGGGATCCTCCCGCCCGACCGCCCCCTGATTTCCTCTGTTCTGCCTCTGGGAGACCTTTACCTTCACCGGGAGGCACACCTGTCTGCCCTCCAGCTCTGGTGTCCCCTCCTCTCTCTTTTCCTCTCACTGCTGGTAACCAGGAGTCTCTTTCCTGCCGTATGGAAATCTGTATCTTGGTTTCTTTTTCTTTCATCACAGCGGTCTCATGCAGTGTTTGCCCTTTTGTGACTGACCAACTCCAGGCAGGATAACCTCCATCGAAATCCATTCATGTCCAAGGCTCCCCGGCTCCGCCTTTATTCTGTAGCATCTGTCCTAGTGCGCTGTGTGTACGAGCCGTCCGTCGCTTCTTGTGCATGCCTCCTCGCGTGGACATGGCCGCTGTTTCCATTCTCGCTGTTTGAACAGTGTGCACATGGACATGTGTGTGGGTGTTGTCGGCTGGCTGGCTATGTGGCATGTGCTCATGCGGCGTGTCTACCGAGTGAGTCCCACGGTGGTTATACAGGTTGACACTCCCACGAGCGGGATCTGAGGGCACCGATCTCTTCCTGTCCTGCAGCACGTGTGACCTGCTTTGGTTTGGTTTTGTGAACGTTGTTAGCCGTGTCGGTGGTTGGTGGTGTCTCATTGTTATTTCGATGTGCATCTCTCAGAGAGCTGGTGGGCATGACCATTTCTTCGCACGGTCGTTGGTTACCTGATGTCTTCTTTGGTAAACGGTCTGTTCAAGTCCTCTGCCCATTTTTAAATTCAATGACTCACCTCGTTTCCTCTTGAGGTGCTGAAGTTTCCATCGAGTTTGGAGATTAGTCCTTTATCCAATAGAATGTTGATATCTTTGCCATTCTGTGGGTTCTCCTCGGGGACTTATTCTTAGGAGCTCCCCGTCATCTAGTATGTCTCCTGCTGTGTGTGTGCGTGTGTGTTTATCATTATGGTTGATGGTGTGTTTGTGCCATGTGTCAGGGCCCTTAAATGTGTCCCTATTTCTTCATTGATTGTAGTTCTAGGGTTTATATTTAGGTCTTTAATCCATCTTTCCATCTGGAATGAATGGTGGGCCCTGTGTCATTCTTCTGCAAATGGAAATCCAATTTTGCGGACACCATCTGTTGGAGAAATCACCTCTTCCCCATTCAGGGTGTGGCATTCAGGCTGTTGTGCCACCCCCGTTGTCTGGAGGGGATGGGCTCGTTCCTGGGCTCACTGTCCCGTTCCATCGGCCTACATGTCAGCGGTTGCTCCCATCGCAGGTTGTTTGGCTCCAGGGACTGTGTGAGCGGTTTTGAGGTCAGGGAGGGCGAGGCCTCCGCTTTGTCTTCCTACGTGCTGCTTTGCTTGTCCTGTGTCTTTCCTTCCCACGTAAACTTGGCGATTACTTTTCCCATTTCTTTAAAGAATGATGCTGGGATCTGGACTGGAATTGCATTCTATTTATAGATTGCTTTGGGTAGTATTGACATTCAAGGTGGAAAGATTGAACAAAGCAGTTTGGGTAGAATTTATGTCATCTGAGTAATTTGTAATTTGAGTAATTGTAATTGATTGTAATTGCAAACAATTGGTTGTAATTGAGTACTTTTCAATTTGAGTAATTTTAAATTTACAATATTATGCACTGTTCTGTGATTAAAAGTGGCAATAAGCATCACTTAGGACCCTAGATTGTTTAGTAGTGAAGGAAGCCATGAGCGACCAGCCTGGGTGACAACCACGATGGTGATACCACACTATTCTTACAACAATTATGAGCTGTAATCCGCAAGAAGGCAAGAGGCTAGTCTTCCATTGATGGGCACGTGGGAGTGGAAAGTCTTGTCTTTATCCCCGCGAGCAGCTAGCTGGTGGTTTCAAACTGCTGACCATTGAGATTGCAGGCCAATGCGTAACCACTACACCACCAGGGCTCCTCAGACTTACGATTAGAGATGACATCCTGCGCTTTCAGGGCCACCCAACCCCCTAATTGCTCCCCGGGCTGTACTCTTCCTCAGACTGGGATGCTTTTTTCCTGGGTTCCAGGGTCTGTGTGGTCTTGAAAGAGCTTGTAAACCTTTGCTTGCATCTTCAAAAGCTCCGGCGTCTCTGTATCGCGCAGGCGTTTCAGGCACAGGGCTGCCAACACCACGGTTGGCAGTTCAAGTCCACCCAGAAGAAAGGTCCCGAGTTCTACTTCGAAGAAGCTGCCCTCAGAAGCCCAGGGGAGCACAGTTCAACTCTGGCCACGCGGGGCTGACAGGAGGCAGACTCGACTGGGCAGCATCTGAGTTTTCACAAAAACCCAACT